TACCTGGGACAAATCGTTGTGGTTGCTGGAGGTCATCTATCTCAGATCCAGAAGAGTTCTTCAAGGTAGTATCCTTGACTTAACCATTTTCAGCTGCTTCAATGACCTCCATCATAAGGTCAGAAGAAGGCATGTTTGCCGACTGCACGACTTTCAGCATCATTTGTGACTCCTCGGAACAGAATCAATCTATGTCCAAATGCAACAAGACCCAAACAGCATTCTTGTTTGGGCTGAAAAATGTCCAGATCAGATTCTAACCATCAACCTTCAAAATTCAAACATTATCATTACTGAATTTCCTACTATTAATATGCTGGGGTTACCATCGACCAGAAACTAAACAGAGCTAGCCGTAGGTACTGTGGTAAGATAGCATATCAGGTTCTAGGAATCTTGCAATACTTACAACTTAGCTTCTGAATCCCAAACCCTGACCACTAAAAGTCAGGAGTGTGATGGAATATCCCCATGTGCCTGGATGAGTGCAATTCGCACAAACATTCAAGATGCTTGACACCATCCAGATGAAACAGCCTGCTTGATTGTCACCACATCTGTCAACATTCACTCTCTGCACTATCAAGTAGCAAAGTTAACAGTACCATGTACGATTTACATGACACACTACAGAAATTCAAAAGATCCTTAGACAGCACCTGAAACAATTCACTACACCACTTTCTCAAGGGCAACTGGAAACGTGCAATAAATGGTGGCTCAGTTCCAGAACGTATGAATGATTTAAAGCATAAAGTGCATTACCTTCCCAAGATTGATTGGCAATGTTGGGAATTGAGGAGCTATAATAATTTTTATCCAGAACAGTTTTGAGATATTTTAAACATCAAGTGAGTGAGTAAAGCAGATTCTACAACATTTTCTGACTCTGAAATTGTCTGGGCTAAGGGAAGGCCTTTTTATAAAAAGGGGCATTGCAATAATTTTTTTTGCCAGGATAAATTTGAGGCAATCGATTTTGACCCGGAAGTAAGACAAAAACTGTCCAGATATTTCTAGTGAGACAGGTCCTCGAATCTACACTCAAAAGGAAAATCCTAATTAAAATAAGCTAATTTCACTTGGCTTAACAATTCACAAAATCAACAATTATATCTCATCTTAGGAACAAGGTGCAATTTTTCCTTAATGTCAGTAATGGCTGGCCAGTAATGTGAGAACAGGAAATTTTGTTCCAAATACTCTAACACTCTCAAATTCAGAAACTTAGAATGTCTTTCCTGGATACCAATCATTTCTTCATCCAGCCTGTTTAACTGACACCTTACTGACAGAAGAGCTACATTAATTTTAAATAGGACATAACCACTCAACGTATTGATCTTGAGCTGTCAGACTGTGGGACCACACACTATTAGCAAAGCATACAACAGTGAGGTCCTGGCATTTTCAGAGACATTTGCCACCACTATTTAAAAAGATGGCAAAATGTTATCAATACTTGATCTTGGCAAGTACAATATTCTACTTCAAAAAAGAAAACTCAGTTATAAAAGCTTCTGTACATTTGGAATATATATTGTATATTTGAACATTTCCAGTGACAGAATCTGCTCAGGCAATGGGAAAATCTTACTGAATCTCAACAGCATCCAAAAAACAAAATCATTTTTATGCTTTTTAGCACTCAAGTACCTTTACACATCCAAAACTCTTCATCGGAATGGAGAGTTGCACTCTTCCAAGGATCTAAAGCACAACTGAGTTTAATATGTTACAAATACTTTCTCACCATCATGGTGCCAAGAATTTCCATCTTGCTTCCTACTTCTACCAATTCATCAAGCAATTCTAGAGAAAAAATACATCAGATCTATTTACTAGAACAAACAGATTTTTAAAGAAATACCTCAACCGGAACCACTGGAAAACAGGAAGGCAACTTCGCTCCACATTTATTAAATAACATATTGCTTTTTAGGCTGGCGTTAACTCACATTCAGGCTGTTCAGTCAGTCTGATCTAGAAATTTAAATTTTAAACTTACTCGTGCCCACGATAATATAATGAGGAATTTACTTTCTACCAGTCCACCTAATCAACTATTCCCTTTTTAATGCCCTTGGAAGGTCTTGGTGGAAGGATTGTAAACCAGCTGCACTGCAATGTTGGACTTCGAAGTAAAACTTTTGATGTTGCTTCAGCAGATTCACCCATTTTGATTCAAATTTCAGATTGTAAGAATGGAGGCTCATCCCCTTTCTAGATCCTCATGATCAGTGAACAGCATTCAGTTGATTTCATAGAGGGTTCCTACAACCGTCTGTGAGAAAGCTTCATCTTCTCAGTTTGTAATGGTGGTGACATGGCCCACATCATCACATAGAACTTCAATGCTTTACACAGAATTTATAATTTTGTCTATCAATAAAACTGGTGGGTTATTTACTATATATTGTTTTATTAATTCATATAGGACACCATTGTAACAAGCAAAACTAAATGTGCAATAAATCCTGCACCATTTTTCAAACTTTCAATGCACTCCAGCCTGTGGTTATGTATGTGACAGAATTCTAAAACGGTGGTACGAACTCTCTTACTTCTGCCACTCAGAAGAAATGGTATAGAAGTAAAGGACTTTTCTTTCAAAAAAGAAAACCCACCTCTGAACTCCCACCCAAAAACTACAAACTCAAATCAGGTCATGAAGAAACTTTCATAAAAGTATCAGAACTTAATAAATTCAAAAGCTGCAACATAAAACTCAACTGTACATCACAGGGCCTGCTGCAATGCTTACTTGGCTTAAATCAAAAATGGGTGGTAAAAACTATCCAAGGCAAGTACTGAAGACCAATCCTTTATACGTCTCAGTTGTCTGCCAAGCAAAGCAGGAGTGGTCCCTCAGATTTGAAGCCTTGGCCCATCCAACTGCAAATGTGGTTTTGATCTTTTGACAGTGTCTTTGGCTCTTTGTGCCTATCAGTCTCCCCCACATTCTCTGTTGCCTGATCATCACTGGGACCTACATTTTTCCAACAGTTAAGATTGATCTTCTTTACTGCTTTTAAATGGTATAGACAAACTAATCTATGATTCTTAAACATTGGAACATTCTATACATACATTGTATTAAAAAGACAGACTTGACACTTTCATTGATAATTTGTCTAGCTGAGCGTTTTTAAAGAGAAAAATCTATGCACCATTCTAATGGAAGCAATCAAATTGTCAGAGCTTCAACAACATGTTCCTTTTTATCAGTAATTATTGTAAACATATGTTTAAAAAATGTTAGTATTAGGAAGATTCTCACGTGATGCATGATCATCCTGCTTTTTGCGATCTTGGATTTTAAAATGGAAGACCAACATGTAGTTTCAGTTGAAAGTTACAAGATGAAGAAATGACATTTAGTTTCATTTTTGATTTGTTCTGCAAGTAGTGCCGGAATATCTGGAGATTTGTTCACATCTATTTAAGTGAGGTCTTTAGATCCTTGAGGCAAGCAGTAAAAACGGTAACAGATTAAAAAAGAAAACTGCTGACGGCTAGCTCAATATCTGAATAACCCACGAGTCAGGCGTTGTGCAGTTTATTCAGGGGGAAGAGGAGGTTTGAGAGATATCAGAGGTTCCTAAACAAGCTGAGCTGATAATATTCTGATTTGGATTGTAATATTTTCTCAAGGGTAACCAGCAATGTCCATATTTCACAAGTGAATAAAAAAGTGGTTTTGAAGTAAGAGAAAATATCCTGAAGCAGAAAAATGTTGAGATGTCAGAGCAGAATATTTCTAATAAAGTTGCTGAAAGCATGAATTTAAAGGACATATGTTAAACAGCGTGTGAGCTGAGTTAGCATGTTTAAATATCACAGGAAGAGGCATGAAGTAAAGAAATAGCATCAAGTGAATGGAGAAATGCCAAAAACAAACTCACTATTGCAATGTCAGCTGAACAAGCAGCTTTGTGGAGACAGGATGACACTTAACTGTGGTTCGGCTGTCTGTCAGGTTGCTGTTCGGTCAAAAGGTTTGAATCTTTCTTTCTAATCTTTGCAATACTTGTTGATATGTTAACAGACTTTTGTGTCTACGTTTAATGACTGACCACCACGGTAAAATACAACATAAAATTTATGGTCTATCAAGTCAGGGGATATTGGATCTGACTTGTCTAGTACGACCATTAGCTGGCATCTTAACACTCAGTGAAGGCACTAAAGTTTAAAAAGAGCAACTGTACAGATAACATTGTTTTGGGTTAGCACTGGAAATTGCATTTGTTGACAAATGGCATCAATGTTGGCTCTGATGCTTTTTCTATTTTTTCATAGGTTGTGAACATGGATGGCAAGGCCAGCATTTGCACCAAAGAGACAGTGAGCTGCTTTCTTGAACTGTAGCAGGTGGTGGTACAGGTACAGCCACCTGCTGGGAAGGGAGTTACAGGATTTTTACCCAACAGTGAACAAATGTTCCAAGCCAGTGTAGGGTGTAGCTTGGAGAAGAATTTTCAAAAGCTGGAGTTCTCACATGTCTACTATCCTTTCCCCGCTGAATGGGAGAAAATCACTGATTTCGAAGGTGCTGTCAAAGGAGGCTTGGCAAGTTGGTGCTGTGCTATGTCAGGCAACACTAATGTCAATCACACAAACAATGGCTACTTTTGTGAAGGACGAGATAAGTACTAATTTCCATTGAATTTTGACAATAAAATACCAGCATTTTTGGCCCAAGGTGAGGAATTGAGAGAAAAAATTATAGGGCTTCTTACAAATACATCTAGACTGGGACAATTTGTGGTTCAACTCTAACCCTCAAAAGACAGATTTACAGTTGTTTGGAATCCGTCTGCCAATATCATTAACAGGAGATTTTTAAAAGACATTAAACAGATGATCTGCCTTACGTCCCTTGAGTAAATCACTGCCTAAGATTAGGTTTCAACAAATAATTAGTGATTGCCCAACTGAACCGCATTTTAAAAATCATTATTTAAATGAATATTGCACAAAGAAACAAATATTGCTCATTGGATTTTACTGGAGTCTTTATTTAGGTGTAAAGTAATTCCACAATGAAACAAAATCAGTTACTCTGGTATACATGAAATCAGAGAACAATACAACCACTTTAAGCAAAAATTAGAAAAAGGCCAACAACTGAGAAATGGGGAACTCAGGTTTCAGTGCTATGGTATACACTATTCTACAGTGAGTTCTATGTTCTCTTTTCAACCTGCTTACAATAAATGACAAATAAAACTCTCTCCCTGCAATTTCTCAATAAACCACTCAGTTGAAAACCTGACCATAAGAAACTTGAAATCACATTTCTCAAACTATCCCAATTGAGTGCTGCTTTTTTGTTTTTTGAATCATGTAAATATGGAAACTAGTACAGGTGACGTGTGTAAACATTTCATTATATGCCCTAACCCACTTCTTAAGCCTCTTCTTCTTTCCCAAGATGATAGACATTATGTTACTCTTTTTGCCAGGCTCATGCATCACCTCACATGAAGACTTTTCTTGTCTGTATAAGCAGCTCTAAAAAGAAATTATAACTTAAGCAAAATAATCTAGAGGAGGCTTTTAATCCTCTCTTCTCATTAACATCCATAGCCATTTTTAAAAATTCTGTAACCCTACTTAAAACAATGGTTATGAATTTCTTAAAGCTGTATCATTTGTTTTTGCTAGTTTACATAAGCTTTGTTTCAAATAAAATAATCTCCAATTGAAAATTAGTCTACAGAAAAGGGCCCTGATAAATGTTTTGTAAAATTTAAAATTTTAATGCCTAAAACTGCTGACTGTTTCACTGCACAGAGCATAATAGTCATCTTGACAAACTTATGTGCAAACTATCATTCCATATTTTACATTTGGCTTATACATGCCAACAAAAAAATAATGTTGCAGCTTAGAACAGTTCTGGATGCTGAATTTATCCCAAAGCTAATTCAACTCAATCCTTCTACTTTCTTATTATAATATTAATTATCACCATGATAAGTTCTGTGGTTACTCTGTTCCTAATATAAATTCAAGTTCAGGAAAACAACTTGAATTTTTGATCTCTGTCGTAACCAGCGATTACCGTCATGGGATCCAGGTTACCAGTCATGAAGTTGAAAACACTCATGACTCGTCATACCTGGTGACCAGAATATTGTTTTCCCTTGGCTTTTCATTTTGCAGATTCAAAGCTCAAGGTTGTGACAGATATTCAACAATTACATTATGATGTCAAAGTGATGTTTATGACACCAGTGTTACAAAATAAGGAAAAAAAAAAAATCTCAAAGCAAGCCACATGAAGCAACAATCACTACTGCAGTCACACATGTAAATGAGATTAAGTTTTAAGTCTACACTTGGTTCTTGCAGTCAGCACAAGTAAAATGCCAGAATGGTTTCTCACACCTCTCCAAAACACAAACAAATTCTGCTAAGATCTACAAAATCACAGCCACAACATGGGCTAACTGCATTGGCTCAGGATTTCTCACTAGAATGCATGGCTTTACCAACTGTTTAATATTGATGTCTAAGCTCCAAGTAATAAGTGTCATTCAGTTTGATCAACCGAAACCTTCACACTGAAACCTTTCCCATAACTTTGTAGAATCCTGAACTTTCACAGTTAGCAGTTCACAAGCCATACTCAATAAACTTGTTAATTTTATGAAAATGCATTTAGAATCATCCAAGAAAAAAAGTATTTATACTTATTCTGGCTCTAAAGCACAACCTTGTCATTCCTACTTTGAAGTGAGCTAACAGGTTTCAATTAGATGATTTAAATCTATTCATCCATGCCGTTTTCCTGCATTCAGAAAGGCACTGATCTAGTTATGCAAAAAGTTTAGCTTGAAGTATTTATCTCCCAATTCTTCTACAACAAAGCATTATACTGTGCCATATGCTAAGAGCCTCTGAATAGCAGAAGTTGTAGTAGACATAGTTGTCCTAGTGACAATGGTAGTCCTACAGTAGTAATGAAAGCCGTAGTAATTAATCAGCAAAATAAGCATTGATGCTAGTTAGATAGGCACATGCACAATCATTCTTTGACAAACACAACCTATACTAGTTGAAAAAGCCAAGGTTTCAATAAACTATCTTAATTAGTTTTCTGTCATGGTATTGCATTCAATGCCTAACAGTGAAACCTACAAGAAGAGAAAGATAAATACCTATCCAAAGCAGTTAAATGAAAAGAAAACTATAGTTTTTTTTGAAGAGCAATAAGTTCTCAACAAGAGAGTTGTGAACTTATCAAAAGGGTAGTTGCTTTCGAGCTGGAAACAGCTAAGTAGAATTAAAGATGTGTGCGAGAAAAAAGCTCTTCATCTGGAGGGTCATCCCAGTCACTTCCGCCTTCTGAAGCGGTTTCATCTGAGCTTGAACAGTCACTGGAGAAAAGTTTCCTGCGGATGACAGCTGACCTCCCTCTAGTGTCATGCTCTACTCTGCAGTTCACCTCACAGGCTGCTGTAGTCTGCTGAGATAGAAAAATATAACATTAAATTTTTTTTCATGTTTTAAAAAAATCATTTTTATTCTGCCCTCAATCACCTCCATAAATTAAAATAGCAAGTTCTCTTATTGCAATCATAAAATATCATTTTATTCAAGGTATGATTGATTTCTCTGGTAAAATACGAGGCAACTCATCTTAGTGACCCGGATTCTACAGTCAATGGCTGACATTGAAGAAAACTATCCAAAGATTTAACAATTTCTGAAGCATGAATTTCACCTTTCCCGGAGGCTAATTCGATTCTGGCACTAAGGGAGATCCTAGCTTCCAGCAACTGTAGAGTTATCAAGCAAACACAGCAACCAATTAAAAGCAAATAATATAAGCATGCTGGAAACCAGAAATAGAAATTGAAAATGCTTAAGAAACTCAGCAGGTCTGGTAGCATCTGTGGAGAGAGAAACAGTTACCGTTTCCAGTGTGATTTGCTTCCAGAACTGCTGAGTTTTTCCAGCACTTTGCTGTAACAAAACAAACAAACAAACAAGTTGAAGGATTCTCTGGAACAGCAAACCAAAACGAGAACAAAAACACTGATTATCCAAATTCTAATCATTTTATAACATAGAAGAAAAAAAGTCATGTATATGGATTTAAGGAAGAAACTGGAACATTCAATTAAAGATTAAAAAATGAACTTCTGTCAACTGAAAAATGAGAGACTGGTCAGTTTTGTTTTGCAAGGGGCACAAAAATTGTTAAAAATTAAGAAGTCCAGCTACAATCATTCAAAAAGGCATTTCCTCTCCAGAAAGATTAAAAAATGGAAAGTCACGTTGATCCATTGACATTTGAACATTTCCATCCGAAGCTTTCATCTGCTTATTTTCCATGGAGTATGCTAAGTGTTGAGAGTAACTGATGAAATTCTGCATTTAACGGTGTATGCTGATGTCAAAAGTTGCTAGTGATTTCATATTTGTAATGACAGCGAATACGGATTTGCACTATTACAACTGCACAACCTTAATCAATATTTAATATCTGAATGAAAATAAAGGAGTTACATTTCTGACCAAAAAGGGGCCAGTTAAATTAATTGGCTGGACAGCTGGTTTGTAATACAGAGTGACATAAACAGTGTGGGTTGAATTCAGATAGTAGCTGAGGTTACTGTGAAGACTGCTTCTTCTCAGGTGTGGTGACCCTCAGGTTAAACTCATCACTAGGCATCTGTCTGTAATGACAGCAGCCCAATTGTCCTCCGACTTCTGACTTTATCTTTACCTGACCAAAATACAAAATATAACCTTCTAGCTCAGCTTTATTTATGTGGATATGTAGTATGCTGTGCTTCCTTAATTGTTGCAATGGGAGACCGTTGAATTCCTAAACAATGTTTGATGATTTAATGTGTTAAATTACATTTTTAAACAGCTTTAGTTGGTTCTTCTTAATGCTCACTATAGTATGCTATATTTATAGCAGGTTAAATAAAACATTAACAATTGACCCAATTTCACATATTTCCTCTTTTGGCAAGCCTTGGCTACATCAAAGGCTCCCATTTAGTTTCGATCTGAGACAGCATAATGGGCTCCCTTCTCTACAGAAGCAGCATACAGCAACCATGGAAAACTATCACCCCTTTCACTGCACCAGTTTTGCTCCAGTTAATGTATTTACATTTATTCTCTACCTGGTTTCTCTTTTGCCCCATCCCTTGTGATTTTGCCAATTCAGGAAGTTTCACAGCCATTTGCAACAAGGCATAGACTAAACAAATTTACAATGATCCTACCTGAAGTTAGTGGAGAATACAACCCTTCATCCCATCAGCCCGAGCTAGACTTAACCTTGTCCAGAGCTTCAAAAAAAACACAATGCAGGAAAACCCACTGCCCTATCTTCAGCTTGTTTCTTAATTAAATGAGAGGGATATTTTAACATTAAAAAAAAATAGTATTTGAACCAAGTTAGCTTTCCTCATTATGAACAGAGTTGTCAAAGTTCAAATCTTCACTTATACCATGCACTATTTTAATTATACTTCTTCTCTTTACATCAGCTAGCAATGATAATAAAGCAAGCATATCTAACTGAATGTATTGTGCGAGGGACATGCTAACACTTCATTACATTTGGCATGGAATAACGGTTAAACAGAACATTAACAAGAGAAACAAAATGACAGCAGAAGCTCTGAGAAGGCTTAAAAGTAATACGGAAAAACCGGTACGCTTTAGCAAATATTTCTCGATTTAAAAAAAGAGATCATTTCAGTATTGCACAACCATAATTGTGAATTGTACTTGTAGGTTATCTGTGCAAAACTGCAGTGATGCAATAGGTCTTGTACTTCTCTCTTAAGTTAACTGTACCGGATACTGAACATTCAGTTCTTAAGAAAAACAGCTTAAAGTAAACACTGTAACTGTTATTCCATGTTAAGGGATTTATGTTTCAACACAAAGTTGAAACAATTATCTTTGGAAATAGATCTTTAACACTTGGTTAACTTACCAGGTCTAACTGGAGAAGACAATCTCCATTATGTGCATGTCCTCTTAAAATTGGACACTCAGTTCCATCCTTTTCCTTGGCATCAGTGTAGCATTCTAAAACAACAATAAGAACACAAAATTAAGTAGAAGCAACTTGTTAGTTTTGGAAAAAAAAACACTGCCCTAGATTTACAATAAAACAAAAAAATTTTATTTGGACTTGTGATAAACAAATTATGCAGAAAGGAGTAAACTGAAACATTTAAAGTTTATTTTAAAGGTGAAACTCTAAGTTGAAGTGTTTCACCAGTGATTTTGTAATTAGTGGAACAGAATTCTGTTTCTGGGTCAACAGATAGTTAAGTTATGCAACTACAATTCTTCCCATCTATTGTCGGAAACTGAAATATGTCTTCACTGCTAAATCCTAAGCGCAGTAAAATAACTCTCTCATTCACCTGTCAAAGCCTTAAAATGCCATTCCATTTAGATGAATGACAGTAAAGTCATCTAGCAGGTGCCTAGAGGCTCAGATTACAAATGCCAAAGCACATCAGCAAAATAATTTTGCACATTCAGATTTTCATTCCATAGCATCCTGCATCTTCCTAACATAACACCCAATCTGCTTTTTTTTTTTTTAAAAAATAGAATCCCTGCAGTGTGGAAACAGGCCCTTTGGCCCAAATAGTCCACACCGACCCATCCCCCGATGACCCACCTAATCTACACATCCCTGAACACTATGGGCAATTTAGCATGGCCAAACCACCTAGCCTGTTGAAGGATTACAAGTTTGTACCTCCCCAACCATTTAAGGACATTTCACACAGTAATTACTCAGATCTTAACATTATACTTAAAAATGCCTTTGAAAAGATTGTACTCTAAATTTAAACCATAGCAGTAGAGCAGAGTTAAATGCAGAAATCCACTGGTTACTTTAAGCAATTTCCTTACTTCCTACTTCTGACTAGGATTTAATTATTGCCATAGAAGAAGTTATAAAAATGAAAAATCATATCTTAAATTTAGTTGTTCTTCATCCTGGGCTTGTAAGCTCTCAAGCCCATATAAAATCACACTTGATTGAGGACTTGTACCCTCTCCTCCATGGTCCAGTTGTAGTAAATGCAGGCTCTCGTTGGTAAATCTATTGAGGGGAAAAGATGCACACCAAGAACCTGTGTTCTGGACTTCCCATCACATGACCACTTCGAGTCATACCACAAGGAAACCGGCCCCTTGGTTCAATAGGTCTCTGCTGATTAGACATCCCACTCTGACCTAGTTCCATTTCCAAGCATTTGGCCCATATCCTTCTAAAACCTTTTTTAAAAATCATCTGGTTAGATATATTATGTTGTTATTGTACTTGCCTCCACCAATCCCTCTGGCAGCTCTTGCCATTCTCTCACCATCCTTGCGTTGTTGTTGCCCTCGGGTCCTTTTTAAATTTTCCACCTCTCATCTCAAGCCGTCTAGTTTTGGACTTCACCACCTTAACAAACAGACCTTGGATATTCACCCTATCCATGCCCCTCATGATTTTATAAACCTCTATAAGGTCACCCCTCAGCTTCCAATGCTCCAGGGGAAAAAAGCCCCAGCCTCTTGGGTCTCTCTCTGTGGCTCAAACCATCCACTGCCAACAACATCCTTGTAAAGCTTTTCTGCACCCTGTCATGTTTAACATCTTTCCTATAGAAAGGCAACCAGAATTGTACACAGGATTCTAAAAGTGGTCTCACGAGTGTCCTGTACAGCCACAACATGACATCCCAATATGCAACCATTAGTGCAAATCAGGCTATATCTCAGCAGACAGGGCAGTCAGACAGTGATCTCAGGCCTCTGACTTGCCATACAATGTAGTCCTGAAACAGCTGAGGCAGAAGTGTATTTAATAAGGGTCCTTTGTTCATCTTGCACAGAGTGCAGCCAGTAGTGAGCCAGGAAGGGAGCTGTGGGGGAGGAGCTCGTCATAAACAGAGTGAAAAAAGGTGTGATATCACAGGAAAACCTTTAAATTCACTAGCTGATAACTAACTGCTAATTTAAAAATTTATCCTAAATTGCTTTCAGATTAAAGGTAAATTGGAGGAATATTTTAAAGATTAAAAAAAGACCAGTAGGAATTTTTTTTTTAAAAGATTAAAGATTAGAAACAGCACACTGCAAGGTATTTCAGCCTTAGCATCAGGCACCCAGATTCAATTCCAGCCTTGGGTGACTGTGTGGGGCTTGCATGATCTCCCAGTGTCTGTGTGGGGATCCTACAATATGTCTGGACTTCCAGAAGGCATTTGATAAGGTCACATGGGGTTGGGGGTAATTATTAGCTTCGATAAAGTATTGGCTAAACTACAAAAAAAAACAGAACCAGCATAATAGGTCTTTTTCGGGAAATGGAATTTTGGCATTTATTGCTAAAGACAGAGTATAAAAGTAGGGAAGGGTTGCTGAAACATACAAGGCTTTGTGAGACTGCACTCATTTCTGGTTCCCTTACTGGAGGAGGGATGTACTTACATTGGAGGCAGTGCAAAGAAGATTTACTAGGTTGTTTTCAGAGGGAAGGGATTTGTCTTACATAGAGAGATTGAGCAGTTTAAGCTAATATTCTCTCGAGTTCAGAAGGATGAAAGGAGATCTAATTGTGATTGAGTTCGAGAATTGAGAATTAAGATGCTCAAGGGAATTGACAAAGTAGTTGTAGACAGGATGTTTCCTCTTCTGGAGCAATCTATAATAAGAGGTCATAATTGTAGGATAAGGGGAAGCAGATTTAAATCAGAAAAACGGAGGAATAAGTTCTCTCAAAGGGTTGTGAATCTGTGAAATTCACTACCCCAGAGTGCAGTGGATGCCTAAATTTGAGGAGATAGAGTTTTAATTAGTAATGAGTTGAAGGGTTAAGGAGAGCAGGCAAGAAATTGGGGTTGAGACAGAGATGAAATCAGCCATGCTTGTATTCAGTGGCAGAGCATTCTCAGCTGAACTGCCTGCTCCTGCTCTTAGTTCTTAAAGCAGATTATTATTAAAGGTCCAGAAACAGTTCAAGTCCTGGCCCTTTCAATTAGTTGATGACGGATCAAGTGAAAAACATCTTTTTCTTGTATTCCTAAAAAATCTTTTTATACTCCAGTTTTAAAATGTTGCCTTATGCCTAGATTTTATTATCAACTTGCCTGCACACTCGATCCTCGGAAACGGCTGTGGGTACAGTGTTTCTTGCCACCAGTCTGGTTCCTCCTTGCAGTCACTCTCTCCTTCCTGGTTCAAGTCTGAAGAGGGAACCTGCCATGACAAAACTAGTAAATCACTAAAACGTTTTGAAAAGTCATTATTTTTCATTTACATCAAAGCACAAAATTTTGATCAACCTTTGCAAATTACTGCTTGTACACAGTGTACAATATTTTGAGAAGTCACAGAAAAACAGAGGGGAAGAAAATTTCTCGGCTCTGTATTGGTCATTGCTCTTAACACTTTGGAAGAAATTATTATATTAGTATTTATTACTTCATCCACTCTGGGCATTTAATCAGCCTATGCCATCTACTTTCGTCAAAAAAGTTAATTCTACAACCTTCAATTCTTTGTTACGGCACCAACAGTAACTTGGAAGTAAGGTAAATGCTGTATAAGTGTGTGGACAGAAATTAGCAACGTAAGGAAGGAATGATCACTTTCCTGACTTGCTTCAGACATCATTTCCACTCACCACTAAATTCACAATTAACCACAACTTCCTTTTATAGTAATCTAATATTGCATTTTACAGTTATAACACAAAAAGTAATGGTTCCTTACAGAAAAGATATTAATGTACTCAACAATGGCTGAACTACAAGTTAGCCTAACTCTACATTCTAGTTTAATGCCTTGTTCAACTACTAACACTATGGAGAAGACTGTGATGCAACTAGAAGTATACAGTAATTTTTAAGTAATAATTCACATTGATTTCTGGACATTGTGTCTTCTGTCACAGAGATGATTCTCATCCTGAGAACTGATATCAAAACTCATTATACTCAGCCACTTTACAACTCATTGTGGTATTACAGTCCATAGTTGATAGATTTGTCAACAAATACTGTATAGGGAAGTTTATCCAGACATAAATCCCAGCTCTGAAGACAAACTTCAAAAAACAGACTGCTTCACAGCCCACATGGACAATGTAGAAAAATTCTACGTGCTGAATGCTTCACCTGAAGCCTCATATGAATGCTGCTCAATTATACTAGGTCACGTCTATGCAAAATTTCAAAAAGTAGAAACAACACACTGAAGAAAAAAAAACTCTGTATTTGAAGTTACTTAAAAAGTGGGCAGCTACAAATTTCAGGTCTTGCTTTGGCTCATTAAAATTTCTGGTAACTCATTGAAACCCAACTCTTAATAGAAAAGCCAACTGCAAACTTGACACTTAACAAATTTCCTTATTGTCTAAAACTGGAAGGATATCAGAACTGCAGTGAAAGATTTTTAAAATCTCTAAATCTGCAAACAGATATGAAGTGGAGTGCAAGAATATTTAGCCAAATTTTGCTGTAGCAGGCCATCTAACAGCGTTTGACATCTGTGCCTTCAGTTCAAAAAAAAAATGTTGCCCAAAAGCTGTCTAAAATGTAAAACGTTGGGTCCAGAGAGATTTACATTAATATTTAAATGAACAGGTGTCTCCATTAACACAGTGTTAAAAATTACAAGAAGATTTAAACTTTAGGAAATAAACAACCAAGAATTGAAAAAAAGTGTAAATCCAAAATGTTCATCCAATATGTAAGTAGGTAAAAAAAAGGGGGAAGGGAAGACAAGAATTAAAAAGCACCTGAAACATTCAAAACCTTTAAGAATCAGACACCACACTTCAGTGTCAGAGAAGCTGATTGATGAAAGAACTTATTCTAATTACTAATGCTAAATATTAATGACATGTTTAGTTTGTGTCCATCTACAACCCATAATTTCATGACATTCAATTCACATTAAGGCTATAACAGACAGCAAAAACACATTTTGATAAAGCTAACTACAGAAAACAGCAACTCAGACAACTAGATTTACATATTCACATTTTACAACAGGTCTGCCCCTTACCTGCAGTTGCTGTAACATCTATGCATAAATAATTGTAAACACCACGGAACCTCACCGTTATTTTGACAGCAGATTCTGGTTCATCATATTGACCGTTCTTTCCTTGAACACTGATTGCAGGCTGCCAGTCTCCTTGGAAAACTACCTAAATGAGTGAAAAACAACAACTGGTTTGAAGTATGAGAAGTTAGTAGAAATTGTAGTTTCAGCATTGGCCACAACCATGGCTTTTTGATGTAGATACAATACAATGCCATTATTTTGATCCCTTAACAGTTGATCAGAAAAATCAGTTTAGAATTTTCCTAAGTAATTAAAGCATTCGAGCCTATGATGATTCAACGTGGATGAAAATCATTATTGTTGGATATTTGGGGTTGAAGCATGAACATTTCAATGTTAGAAATTTATGGCTATAAAAATGCAACTGGTCAAAAGGCTCATGCAGGGCTTATGAAACGCAACACAAACAGGACATACGGGTCATTTGTTGGTATTACTCCTCCACACATTTGTCCTCCAATCTATACTTGATTAGATCCTCCCAGCTGTATTACATTAAAGTTGACATAATTAATCTCAGCATCCTACATTTGGGTGAGCAGCAGCACTGGCCAGGATTCCTGCTCATTAGTCATTAACTTTGCAGTCACTGGATTGACTGTTATAACTCTTACCAATACTCACCATCCAGGCTTTCAATGAATAATGATCACAAGAGTAAGGTACTAAGGAATCAACACCTTCAGGTGAGGTGTAGAGACAAATATGCAGGAATAAATCTAAGATGATATTTTCATGATGAACATTAACAAGATAAAAGATTCTTACATGAACTTATATGCAGCTAATAAGACCATAAGACATAGGAGCAGAAATTAGGCCATTCAGCCCATCGAGTCTGCTTCACCATTCAATCATAGGATGAGGGGGACCTAACTGAAACTTACAGAATACTGAATGGCATGGACAGAGTGGATGTTGGGAAGATGTTTCCATTGGTAGGATCCAAGGGCACAGCCTTAGAGTAAAGGGAAGACCTTTTAGAACGGAGATAAGGAGAAACTTCTATTGGCAGAGAGTGGCGAACCTATGGAATTCACTGCCACCGAAGGCTGTGGAAGCCAGGTCATTGAGTATATTTAAGCCGGAGATAGATAGGTTCTTTATTGTCAAGGGGATCAAGGGTCATGGGGAGAAAGTGGGAGAATGGGGTTGAGAAACTTATCAGCCATGATTAATCTCAATTTCACCTCAGGAAATGTTACGGGCAATTCAAAATGGTGATTTCTCAGGGTCCAGGCTTGAAGCTCTGGCTCCAACATCAAAGTCATTTTCATTTTTATTCCATTTTGATGGAAACCTTTCCAAAAGCAATCTGTTACCATGGCAATAAAATATATCCGATGCAGTTTGAAAAATGTGACCCTCTAATTGGTATAGAAAACCTTAAAAGGTGAGGCAATAATTTTAAACTCAGTGTGCTATCTATGGTATCAGAATCAGCAAGATTGGGACAGAGACCATTCTGGATTTCAGATCTTGCTGTTATTCAAGTTGGATGTGAAATGCTGGAAGCCTTGCCCTAGCTTAAGATGCTGCTGGATCATTGACACTGCCAGCTTTGTTGCTGTTTCTTATTCCTAATTTTATTACAACAAATCTTTGGCAGTGATCTCTCTCTCCAAAATTCTGGTCATAGTAGCACTGCACCTATCATCACATATCAACTGTAACAGAGTGAACTATTATCTGTACTGTATCAACATTTCAAGAAATGCATTGCATCTTTCATACAGGGCTGAATTTTCTAAGGGCCATGAGGTCAAGATTCAGTACAGACGGGAGACCAAAAAAAAAACCCAGACCTAATACCTCTGGGAGAGTTCTGAATGGGGACGGAGAGAGAGAGGGAGGTAACCACGTAACAACACATTAAGCTCAAGAAGTTTGTTAAAATACCTGAGATTTTGGGATATGAATTTTGAAAATGTTTCTCCAGCAAGCCTGAACAGTCTGATGCACTGTAGCACACAACTCCCAGAGGCATTCTTTTTCCAAAAGTCATCTGGAAGCATCATGTGTTTCAGGATGTGCCCCTTCAAGCAACTTAAAGCTGGTTCTGATCAAAATAATGCCAGAATCTTTTTAAACTGTGCATTGGTAAAATTAAAGTACTTTACCGTAAAGTCGTTAAGATTCTAGCATGATCAAGAGCTCTTGAATTTCAGGAAATATGAATAAGTCCACCTTTCTTTGTTCATAAGCAGAGCAATCCTGAAGACCAATCCTTCATAGATTTTTAATAAAGTTTGCTAATCAGCCTGGAAAGCAGGCTGCTGGATCAGGGCAGGTAGTGTCAAAGATAATGCTTTTGCCATTCAGCAGATCTCCAACCTGTTCGCGCTGCAATGGTTTCCAGAAGTGGAAGCCATTCATTGGCACACCAATTCATGTGTGCAGAGCTTCCCAACAGCTGCATAGCCTAGTGGGAACTTTGGCGAAAAAGGTCATTACAGAAGAGGAAAACACTGGCAAGTAAAGTTTTACCTTATTTAGAGTACATAAAAAGTGGTAGCTAGATCCTTGAAATAGAGGAGTTGAGGGCAATGTTTCCTCTAAGCTGCATGGCTACACTAACAGTGTGAAGGGGCACTGGCCTCTGTTTCTAGTAGTATCTGCCCCACACAGACTTCACCGATCCATACAGAAACATGACAAGTTGGTGGGAATACAGGTTGAGGGTTATAAGAAGCTGGCATGGAACAGGAATTGAAGCCTCGGGCAGATCTGCCATGAACATACAAAATGACAGGGCAGGCTTAAGAGACTAAACAACCTACTCCTGCTCCTATTTATGTCGTGTAAAACCAGTAACTTGTCCACACCATTGCAATTCTAAGAACAACTAGCTCGTAAGGTATTTTCCTAATTTATTAAGAACTAACATGAATGAATGGCAGCATATAAAATTGCCCAGTTTTCAGAAATCTCTAGCTTTCACTAACTGAATTTGAAACAATAGTTGTACATCAAAAATCCAAGATTTATTCAGCTCATTACCACTTCAAATGCATGCAATTCCTCATTTTTGAGATTTTAAAACTACTTGTAGATTTAGATTTCATTGTAAATGTTCCTTTAAAGAATTGTTCATGAAGAATTCAAGGAAGTGACCAGATTAAACTTTCTGAAAGCTTCTTGGACAAATAATATTACAAAAACAGTACAATTTATGGGTAGATTCAAATTTTATTCTCAGCTTATTTTATCTGGTTTAATAATGGGATCGATGCGATTGGAAGGTGAAAGAAAAAAAGACTCAAGTATGGTTAATGTACTTAATTCCTTTCCAGTGGAATCTAAGTTTCCTGTATCTATGTATGTTCCAATCACATGTACTAAAGAGGGCTTACACATGCAAAGTGAAGGGAGAGTAAGATTTACACAGGCTTAACAATATGCTACAATTTAAGGGGCATGAGGGCATAAGCAAGGTAGGACACAATTAAAACTCATTTACAACTGTTCTTCATAGAACAAAACTAAAAGTTTCTGGAAAAGCTCGGGAGGTCTGGCAGCATCTGTGAAGATAAACATCAGAGTTCCCGTTTTGAGCAGAGTTTTGAGGAAGGGTTACCAGACCCAAAACGGTAACCTTGACATTTTTCTTCACAGTTGGTGCCAGACCTGCTGAGCTTTTCCAGCAACTTCTGTTTTTGTTCCTGATTTACAGCATCCACAGTTCTTTCGGTTTCTGTTCTTTGAACAAAGAACATAACATAAGAACTAGGAGCAGGAGTAGGCCGTCTGGCCCTTCGAGCCTGCTCCGCCATTCAATAAGATCGTGGCTGATCTTTTCGTGGACTCAGATCCATTTACCCACGTTCTCACCATATCCCTTAATTCCTTTATTGTTCAAAAAAAAAAATCTACCTTTTTTTAAAAACGTTTACTGAAGTAGCATCAACTACTTCACTGGGCAAGGAATTCCATAGATTAATAACCCTCTGTGAAGAAATTCCTTCTCAACTCAGTCCTAAATCTGCTCCCTCTAATCTTGAGGCTATGCCCTCTTGTCCTCGCTTCACCTGCCAGTGGAAACATCCCCTCTATTTCTATCTTATCTATTCCCTTCATAATTTTATATGTTTCTATAAGATCCCCCCTCAATCTTCTGAATTCCAGTGAATATAATCCCAATCTACTCGGTCTCTCCTCATAAACCAACCCCCTCAACTCCGGAATCAACCTAGTGAACCTCCTTTGCACCCCCTCCAGTGTCAGTACATCCTTTCTCAAGTTAGGAGACCAAAACTGCACACAGTACTCCAGGTGTGGCCTCACCAGCACCTTGTACAGTTGCAACATAACCTCTCATCTTTTTATTTCAATCCCTTCAGCAATGAAGGACAAAATTCCATTTGCCTTCCTAATTACTTGTTGTACCTGCAGACCTACCTTCTGTGATTCATGCACAAGGACACCCGGGTCCCTCTGCATAGCAGCATGCTGCAACTTTTTACCATTCAATTCATAATCCTTTTTACTATTACTCCTACCAAAATGTATGACTTCACATTTATTTACTTACACAAAGTGGACAAAAGATGTGATTCAGGTCGTTAAAATACTGAGGCATAAATAATAGATACAATTACGTAAAATTAACTACGTAAATTGTAAAAATCAAGCTAATATTTATAAACCACCAATAAAGATAAACTAGGAAACCTTGCACAGATATAGTTGTGCATTTAGTAACTTTAAGGAAGATTAACAAATATCTATCAGATGTAGGATGGAGAGTCATATATATGTGGAAGCAAAATTCATCTATGGATCATGATTCCTCAGCTGCTGGAATCATAAAAATGCCAGACTCATATTGGTAATAGATAATGCCACCATGGATAACTAATCCATATCACTGCCTAATTTCGAGAAAATTAACATTTTGCACTTGTTTTCATAAGCCTGCTATAATAACTATCTTTTCTGTAATCAGAAAGGAAATATTTTGTCCTTGTTTCAGATCTGAAAAATCTTATATCAGTTTTAAAAATACATTCAAAATGGAAGTTATTGGAAATCAACCAATCTGCTTTGACATAACGTTTGCTTTCAAGGCTGCTACCCTAACTT